CGGAGTGGGGGGTGGGGGGGGGAGGGGTGGTGCTGCAATTTAGGAGTTTAATGGCCGCTCTGGGGCGCCCATTAAACACAGGGTTGAGGGTTGAGGGTTGAGGGTTTAATGACAATCGCCTGGCGGTGGTCATTAAACAAAAGGGTTTGGGGTTTAGGCGTTTCATGGCCATCGCCTGGCGGTGGTTATTAAACAAAAGGGTTAAGGGTTTAGGCGTTTAATGGCCATCGCCTGGCAGTGGCCATTAAACAGGGTGTCAGGGCTCTTAGACAACCTTGGGTTTAGATCTCGGGTTTGGGGCTCGGGTTTAGGGTTTAATGGCCATCGCCTGGCGGTGGTCATTAACAAGGTTGGAGGGCCTGCGCTTCGGGGCTGGGGTTTAGGGTTTCTAGGTGTTTTGGGGTTTAGGCTTCTAGGATCGCCTGACGGTGGTCATTAAACAGTGTCAGGGCTCTTAGCCAACCTTGGGTTTAGGTCTCGGGTTTAGGAATTTTGGGCTAAGCGGCTTAGGTTTAAGCACTGTTGCTCCATGTCGGCCGCGGTGCGGCTGCTTAGGCTTTAGGGGTTAGGTCCTCCAACCCTGAACCCTTAAACCCCCTAAACCACCTTAAAAGGGAAAGGGTTTAGGGTTTAATGACCATCGCCTGGCGGTGGTCATTAAAAAGGTTGGTTGGAGGGCTTGCGCTTCGGGGCTGGGTTTCAGGGTTTACGTCGTTTAGGGTTTAGGGTTTATGCAGGTGTGTTGCTCTAGGCTGGTGAAACTTGGCTGCGGAGCCACTTTTCGTGTATCTTGAAGAGTACAAAAAGGGTTGCCCCATCGCCTGGCGGTGGCCATTAAACAGGGTGTCAGGGCTCTTAGACAACCTTGGGTTTAGATCTCGGGTTTGGGGCTCGGGTTTAGGGTTTAATGGCCATCGCCTGGCGGTGGTCATTAACAAGGTTGGAGGGCCTACGCTTCGGGGCTGGGGTTTAGGGTTTCTAGGTGTTTTGGGGTTTAGGCTTCTAGGATCGCCTGACGGTGGTCATTAAACAGTGTCAGGGCTCTTAGCCAACCTTGGGTTTAGGTCTCGGGTTTAGGAATTTTGGGCTAAGCGGCTTAGGTTTAAGCACTGTTGCTCCATGTCGGCCGCGGTGCGGCTGCTTAGGCTTTAGGGGTTAGGTCCTCCAACCCTGAACCCTTAAACCCCCTAAACCCACCTTAAAAGGGAAAGGGTTTAGGGTTTAATGACCATCGCCTGGCGGTGGTCATTAAAAAGGTTGGTTGGAGGGCTTGCGCTTCGGTGCTGGGTTTCAGGGTTTACGTCGTTTAGGGTTTAGGGTTTATGCAGGTGTGTTGCTCTAGGCTGGTGAAACTTGGCTGCGGAGCCACTTTTCGTGTATCTTGAAGAGTACAAAAAGGGTTGCCCCAAAACCGTTTAAAACCGTTTTGGAGCGCCCCAGTGTGCCGGCAAAACCGTTTTAAAACCGTTTTTAATAGTTTTGAATAGTTTTGGATTTTTGACCCCATTTACGGTGCCCCAAAACCGTTTAAAACCGTTTTGCAGCCACCCAAAAAAGCACCATCTAGCAACTGCAATGTAACCATATGAATGCTTTACAACATCGTGATCATCGTGGCATAAATGGAAGTATGTGGTTATTCCAGATGAAACAGGAGGTGGTCTATGAAGAAACAATTTTACTTTCCTCTGAAAGTCGAGACTTTGGTTCTTCGACACAACGAGTTCTGAAACTACTTTTCTCTAATCAACAAATTCCATGGGTGCTACGTTTTACCCATAGTCTAAGAATCTTTTGGCCCGCGAAAGTGCGCCAAAGAATGCTGGCGGCCTTCGAAACGAAGGGATGCTCTACGGCGTTATTGAGCCAAAGGGCAACAGAAACCTTTGCGCCAGGCATGCGAAAAGCTGGAATCTCCAGCTCCAGGCGCGCTTTTGGCCCGCGAAAGTGCGCCAGGGGATGCTGGCGGCCTTCGAAACGAACGGATGCTCTACAGTGTTATAGAGCCAAAGGGCAACAGAAACCTGTGTGCCAGGCATGCAAAAAGCTGGAATCTCCAGCTCCAGGCGCGCTTTTGGCCCGCGAAAGTGCGCCAGGGGATGCTGGCGGCCTTCGAAACGAAGGGACGCTGTGTGGTGGCTCTACCTACACATAGAGCCAAAAGGCCACAGAAACCTCTGTGCCAGGCGTACGAAAAGCTGGAATCTCCAGCTCCAGGCGCGCTTTTGGCCCGCGAAAGTGTGCCAGGGGATGCCGGCGGCCTTCGAGACGAAGGGGTGCTCTACGGTGTTGTAGAGCCGAAGGGCAACAGAAACCTTTGTGCCAGGCCTGGGCCTGCAAACCCTGCGCTTCTTTTCGACTTGACCCTAACGATTTACGTGACTTCCGACGTCATTCACTACATAGGTTCCGACGTAATGCCCTACATACTACTTTTACATATCCTCAGTTAAAGAGGCTGATATCTGGTATAACTTAGGGTTAAAAAAAAAGGTGTCCAACCCAAAAAGGAGTGCTCGTATTTTTATATGGTTACTTACTGGGCTACCAAAGTTTTTTCACATTTATACGTGCAAGCGTCGGGTTAGGAATCCCAATCATTTTGTTGTCGAGAGCTTCGTGGAACCCACGCATCCCGGAACATGTTGTTGTGATATTTGACATTGGGCAAGAAGATGAAGCGTAGTCAAAGCAGATTATCGCATCTGAAGCCAAGGAAAACCCCTCCCCAAGACAAAACGTTTGCCAAGGATGAATATCAGCGCTTTTTCCGCGAGTGTGACGTGAATGGCTACCTTCAGAAGGAGTCCCTTGGCCCATGTTTGGGCGTCTCGCAGACCCCACGGTCCAGTTTTTTTTTGTTTTTTCTCTTCTGGGGGGTTTAGAGTTTAGGGTTTAGGGTTGAAGGGCACCCGATTCTCGCCTACAGGGACCAGGGGTGCTTTGATTGAAGAGCATTGCTTTCCCACGCCTTCAAGAATTCGACTGAGGCTCGCAAGTGGGGTTTAGGGTTTGAGGTTCTCCCTTATATAGAACCCTAAAGCCCTAGAACCTCTAGAGCCCTAAAGCCCTTAAATCCTTAAGTGGGCTCCAGAAAGTTGGAGCATGGTTTAAGGACGATTAGTGCTGGGATTTCCTTTGGAAACCCTCTTAGGGTATGAGGAGAATGATGTTCCAACTGTTGGGAGTTTACCGTAAGCCCTAAACCCACTTAAAACCTAAACCCTAAACCCTAACCCTAAACCCTAAACCCTAAACCCTAGACCCTAAACCCTAAACCCTAAACCCTAAACCCGAAGCCCTAAACCCTGGGTTTCGAGGTTGGGTGGCTGAGCTTGTGCCGTGTCGGAGTGGCAGCCTGCCAAGGCTCACACAGTTCCTGAGCGGGGACCGCTACAGGCCGACCGTCGCCCCAACGGCTTACAGGGTCTCTTCGTGTAGGGTTTGGGGTTTAGGGTGTGGGGTTTAGGGGTTTGGGGTTTCGGGTTTGGGGTTTAGGGTTTAGGGGTTTGGGGTTTAGGGTTTAGGGTTAAAACAAGGCTTCCCAGGCAGGACGCCTCCAGGGGGTTCAGGGCTACTTAGTAACCCATTATAAGCGTAGGTATAACCCACATGTAAACCCTTAAGTACCCTAATAGGGTTATATCTGGGTTATAGGTACAGTTATATTTGACTAAGTACCATGAACCTCCAAGTAAGCATCTACAAGGACAAGCGCCCTCACTCCTATGGGCGCTTGCGAGAGTTGGGGACCTCCAATATAGACTCCCAAATAGTAGGGTCCCCTTAGAACAAGGACCCCAATGAGGTCTCAGATCAAGTTAAGCCGGAAGGTCGACAGAAGCTTTCCGAGAACAGCAAACGTACGCTCCACAGACACAACTGAACTAGAGGTGCCGCCGCTGCGTTTCGTCGGTTGATCCGGCGCCCATCTTTTGCGCAATCTACCTATATCGGTGGCCGTGTGTCTGCCACAGATTTCACAATGAATGTACAACTATGTTGGCAGGACCAACTGCCACCTGTTACCGTCCGCCGAGTACGCCTCGACACCGTATGGGCAGGTGGAGACTCGACTGTTCTGTGCACGGAACACCCGAACTACACCAGAGCGTATCCCCTAAACCCTAAACCCTAAACCCTAAACCCTAAACCCTAAACCCTAAACCCTAAACCCTAAACGTTAAAACCCTAAACGAGAAAACCCGAACCCCAAACCAGCCCCGGGACCCCAGGAGCCCTGCCCAAAGTCATCCCAAAAGCTAAGGAATGGATTGACGAACGTGGCATTCCAGCGCGGTGTCCCAGGGGGATGCTGGGGCAGAGTGGCCAAAGTATCTCTGCCTGAGGCACTGCTTGAGATTTCAGATTCCAGATCTTGCGGGGCCGGTTTCGGGGTTTAGGGGTTTGTGGCATCGAAGTGGGAATTGGGCTACTCCAAACCTCACACTCTTCCAGCAGGTTTAACGATGAAGCTCAGGCGACTTTTGATGCCTTCATGGCCTCCACGAATGCGAAACCTCGTGCGGAGCCCAGCCGACCTTTAGAAGCGAGTTGCGGTCGGAATAGGGGAACATCTAGACCAGCAAAGGGTCAGGGGTAAAGTGCCTAGTGTGGCTGGTTAGGGTTTAGGTAGTTGTTGAAGCTAGCGGCGCATCATATTGTGTGTGTGTGCTTCCGCACGCAATTTGCCAAAGTTGTGTTTGGAAAGTTATCCTACGTGTTTTCGGAGAGGCTTCCGTGGTGGGTGGCGGGGGGCTTGAAGGACGGAGGTTACATTTCGGCTTTTTTGCTCTGACAGATCAAGTTTTTGCTTTGAGTTGGTGTTCGGTGTTCAGCTTTGCTCAGGGCTTGACGGTGCAGGAATGAGCATAGTGTAGGCCATGTTGAAATCGCGTGATCATAGATTCTCAGTAGGCTGCTCTCGTACGTTTCGCGGGCCTTAGAAACTCCCGATCCTTCGCTGCACCCGGCAGGGACGGAGGCTCCTGTTCTCCAGTATGTCGCATGCATGGCGCATGCTGGAGGTTCCCATGGCTGCTGTCGCATTGGGCGTTGCCGTCCTGTCTCTGGTTTACAAAGCTGTGGGCGTCCTTTGGATCCCTATCCTTGGCCCTGCCATCACCGAGATGTTCAAGGGGACGCCTGACGCCTACTACCCACGGCATGGGACGGCTGCAGATGGCACGCCGGCTAGAGATGAGCCGGCCTACACCATCCTGTGCCTTGGACCCTGAGCCAACTAAAGCGTGACTTTTCGTTCACTGCATGCTCACGAGCAACGCCGGAACCTCAATGAAGATGAGAGCGCTTTGCTCCAGGTACGTGTGCATGTACGGCGTGCTGGGCACGGCGGGCCAGCTAGCAGGCTGGCGCCTGTCGTGCCTGGGATCCTGTAGAATTCTGTAGAAAGCCACGCAGACTTTTGTCAGTTTTGTCTGCCTGGTCAGGCCTAGCCGGGCCTAGCCATCTTTCCGCGTTTGCACCTGGTCCCAGGTCGATGTTTGCTTCCCAAGGGGCCAGCCACCGCCCTTTACTTGGCCCGCAAGGTGCATGGCTCATCAAACTCTACGCCAGCTTTCACACCACGATTGCCGTGCACCACCTCCTGCACCTTGTCACATGCGTCATGTGACACAATGCTGCTTCCGAAGCCACTGAAATTCCTGTGAGTTTTCTGAAAGGTACGCAGCGCTTGGGCCAGATCGGTATGGCAAGCTCGAGCTGCATCGCGTGGGCCTGGGCCAGCACTATGGCTACCTCATTACCTTCCTGGCGGCCCTCTGTTGCCTGGCCTATGCCCTGCGCCTTCTCGTTGGCACAGGTGCGGACACACCGGCTGCAGACGTGCTTCAGATCAAGACCGTGCTTGATACCGCCTCTGTTGCAACAGTTCTGGAGATGGCAATCTTCGTCCCAGCCATCATGGCCGATGTTCCTCTACCCCGAGCGATTGTCTGCTGGACATGGCGCATCACTATGTCCAGTATTCCTCTCATCTTTGTTTTTGATCGCCTTACAACTCGCAAGCTCAAGAGCTGATGGAAGTCATGTACCTACCTTACTGCAACATTTGGAAGCTGGCTGCAGGAATCGGAGCTGCCAGCACACAGGCGCAAGGCTTGCCGCTTGCGATGGCAAAGTGTGTTGAGAAGCACGAACGCGCATGAAAACGCCCAGTAGCCTTGGGTCCTGAGTAGGTACCCTCCGACCTTTCGGGGGCATTTTGCCGAGAGAAATTCTCAGCTGCACCCCTAAACCCCAACCCTACACCCTGAACCCTAAACCCCAAACTCCCCAAACCCTAAACAACAAACCCAAAGCCCTCAACCCTAGCTGTTTAGGGCTTAGGGGTTTCCAGGAGGGTCATGTACTCAGAGGACGGTGGAGCCGGGGGTGCCTCCAATACGAAAAAGTCGAGAGGACAAGAGGGCTTAGGGTTCTGGAAGCCACCGCCCTAGAGCAGTATTCCGGGTAAATCCGGGTGCTCCCTGCCTCGGCTTCTGAGGTTTTCCGGACAGTCTTCACAACTGGTCTTGCAACGACATCTCCGCTTATGCGCTGAACGAGGAGTCATGTGGTTTGGAGGTTCCTCGTGTCAAACAGCTAGGTGTCCTAGTCATACACTTGTTCTTTCTGTGTTGTTTTTTACGTTTAGGGTTCCCGGATTGTCGCCGTTCATGCTGTCCCTGGTTAGTGTAACCCGTGCACGTGATTTTCCTGGGCCTTGGAACAACGTTCATGCCTGCTCGCACGAGTCTCGTGGACGGAAGAATGGTCCTGGCCATGGATGCGCGCGCATCATGCATGACACCCTGTGCTCATCCTGGCCGAGGCTGCCTTCGCACCATCCCGCAAGCCCGGAACCCTGAACCCCGGCAAAATAGAGCCCTGTGCTTCGACGTGTGTCATGAACATGTTGCAAATAGCGAGACTTCCGCTGTTTTTCAGCCAGAAACGAAAGCTCGGTTTAGGGTTTATGTTTTAGGGTTGAGGGTCAAAATCACACGAATAATTTTAACGCTACGCGACCCGCCTCGGCCCGGCCCAGCACATCCGCGTGAGCATGGTGATTCCGCAGCGCCCAAGTCGCTGGACCCCAAGCAATCAGGGTTGGTTTAGGGTTGAGGGTTCCAGGTTTATGGTTTATGGTTTGGGGTTTAGGGTTGAGGGTTAGGGCTTAGGGCTCAAGGTTCACGCTTTGGGGTTTAGGGTTTTTTTGGGTTTCGGGTTCAAGAGACGGTTCGGCTTGGATTGATCGTAGGGTTGTCGAAGCCCTAGACCTAAGCCCAAAGCCCTGAGCCCTAAACCCTAAATCCCAAACCGTAAACCGTAAACCGGAAACCCTAAACCCGAAACCCGAAACCCTCAACCCTAAACCCTAAACCTAATCTCTATTTTAAGCAGCAACATCGTATGGAGGAGACGAAGGCTCTCATTCGTCAGGCGCAGCGGGCTGTTTTGAGCTGGCTTGGGGATGTCTCATAGAGGGAGCGGTGTTTAAGGTTTAGGGTTTTTGGTTTGGGGTTGAGGGTTGAGGGTTGATGTGTTTGGTACATGTAGGCTTCAGGAGAGGGTTCTTGAGGGTCCCAGTGGGTTGCCCTTTGTGGGTACGGGTACCCGAAAGTGTCGGGGGGATCCAAGGAATGGCAACTCATGATTCCTGTATTCGCACATTTGGAGGTTTCCGAAATTAGGGGGGGTACCTTATTGGGGTGCTTATTGTAAGGGAATCAATCCTACTATTTGGGGATCGATATTGGGGTCCCCTATTTGCCTAAACCCCCATTTGGGGTTCCCACATCTGGGATTGTGACAGGGGGCCCCGGATCAGCAAAGAAGGGGGGCCTTGATGCCATCAAGGCTCAGGAACAACCACACAACCCCTGCAACATGAGACTTTCAAATCCTTTGAACGTGGGAGAAGGTGTTTGCGGCCGATTTCAAGCTGCAGTGCGAGCTTTTTGGCCACTGCGCTTCTTGGCGTGCCTTTGGACATGGCTTCACTGCTTTGCTATGTGGTGTGTGTGTTGGTGTGTTGGTGTGTTGGTGTGTTGGTGTGTTGGTGTGTTGGTGTGTTGGTGTGTTGGTGTCTTGGTGTCTTGGTGTCTTGGTGTCTTGGTGTCTTGGTGTCTTGGTGTCTTGGTGTCTTGGTGTCTTGGTGTCTTGGTGTCTTGGTGTCTTGGTGTCTTGGTGTCTTGGTGTCTTGGTGTCTTGGTGTGTTGGTGTGTTCGTGTGTTCGTGTGTTCGTGTGTTGGTGTGTGTGTGTGTGTGTGTGTGTGTTTGGGGCTGTGTGTTTGGGGTTGGGAAGGGGGCTTCAGTGGCTTCGGGAATGCTTGTCGCCGGGATGAGGGTGTTGGGGCCCAGGACGACCGGGAGCTCTTTTGCCACGAGAACATTCCGCTCATGCTCCCGGCCAGCAATGCAGGGTCAGACAAACCCAGACCTTTTCTGGGTATGTTCCAGCAAGGGTTTAGGGTCTAGGGATACTTTGTTGGGGTGTTTCCATGCTTGTTGGGCTCGGGAGCGGAATGGGAGTCGTCAAACTCCGAAAGCCCACACTAACCCTAAACCCTAAACCCTAAACTCTAACCCTAAACCCTAAACCTTATTCTTGTGGATTTGCAGAGTAGTTCGCTTCCGAGCGAGCATGCCAGGCTGGGACCACTCGGGCTAACCCACGACTGTTTCTGTGCAGACCCTGCCATATCTCCTAAACCCTAAACCCTAAACCCTAAACCCTAAACCCTAAACCCTAAACCCTAAACCCTAAACCCTAAACCCTAAACCCTAAACCTAAACCCTAAACCCTAAACCCTAAACCCTAAACCCTAAACCCTAAACCCTAAACCCTAAACCCTAAACCCTAAACCCTAAACCCTAAACCCTAAACCCTAAACCCTAAACCCTAAACCCTACACCCTAAACCCTAAACCCTAAACCCTCAACCTTAAACCAGAAAGAGAGCTCAGGTGCGGTTCGAAGCCGGCAGCGTGAGAAGCGTAGCAGAGGCAGAGGGGCGCGCGCTTCATAAAATCCCAGCTCCATGGCCTCCGTGGATTGAGGGCTTATGGTTTAGGGGTTAGGGTTTAGGGTTTAGGGTTCTGTGATTCAGCCAATACGGCAGACCGTTAGTTGTGCACTTTTGATAGGCCCTACTCCGAAAGCGAATACTGTGATGCTTGTGTGAAGTGTGTGGGACACCACGACTTTCACTCGGGGTTCTTGTTGAAGCCTGGTGAGGGGTCAGGTTTGCCATGAATGATATACCAGGCCTTCTACCTTCGTTTTTTGTTTTTTTTGCTCTGGCAACATGTTGGAAGAGGGATCTCTCCGTGTCCTGGTACGAGAACTCCCGCTGCTGGCTCTGAGGCTTCCTAGACATGGTCTTTGTGCCACTAGGGTTTAGGGTTTAGGGTTTAGGGTTTAGGGTTTAGGGTTTAGGGTTTAGGGTTTAGGGTTTAGGGTTTAGGGTATGGAACCAGCTGAGTTGCTTTACGACGGGGCAAGCAACCGCAGGATTCAGCAACGCAACTCTGTCAGTGCGTCACCAGACCCACAGTAGAGGTTGCGAGGGCACTGTGTCAGCCCGCGGCCTGAAGCAAGAAACATCTACAGTTGCAGTTCAAAAGCCCACTTGTCCATAGATGCCTGGACCCGGACCGACCCTGACAAATCCTTGCAACCCCAACCCAGCGGACTCAGCGGATTCGTCGCTCCCCTGGGCCATGCGGCCGCGGCCAGTGTGCGTGAACCCAGCGCATTCGAGTGTCAGATAGGCGTCCATGTTTATACATGTAGTACAACATGCATGCATGCATGAATGCATTTTGATGTACATACATACAGACATACACAGATATACATGGGTCCTGCCCATGTCGGCGAGGTAGGTTCTTGCACAAAACCTCAAACTCATTGAGCCATCGGCTCCCCGTTTTGCAGGACTTGTTAGCCTTCGGAACATGAAGCCGCTGCCCGTTGCCGCGGGTCTTAGCAGAAGCCCTGAAACCCTAACAGACATTGAGCTCGCAAACTTGGTTGTCAAACCGGCGCTGCGGCCAATCAGCAAATCAGCCGATCACCCAATCAGCCAATCAGCCGATCGGCTGATTTCGCACGGTGTGACTTCCAAAAATGTTCAAATCAAGTAATGATTCAGTCGTGGTCGTAAGTATGCGAAGGCTCAAGCCGCAGGAGTTAAGCAGGAAATTGGGGTTTAGGGTGGGTTTAGGGCCTAGAGTCTAGGGTTAGGGTTTAGGGTTTTGGGTTGAGGGTCTTCGGGACGTCGCTCGAAACACCAATTATAGCGTGCAGGTCTCTTGACGCCCCTTTCCCATCCTTGCGAGCATCTCTCTCTCTTTCCAGCAAGGTTGAGACCTAGTTCTCGCCCGCAGGCGCGCAACTCAGGTCAGTTTGTGGCGTTTCTGAAGCCAGCAGGGGTTCTTCAACCTGTAACGTGTACGCGCACGCGCGCGGCAATCGTCACACTGGGCACAGGTGGCTAAACCCCTGAACCCTAAAGCCTCTGCATGCGTCAGTAGAGAGGTTCAAAGTCTTTGGCCTCTAGGATATAGGGGGAACTGCACTACGTGATGACCAAGATCACGAAGCAGCCGCAGTCAGGTCAACTATGCACAGGCCCCGGCTGCACCCCGCGCTGGACCGCAGCTGGGAACTGAGCTCTGCAGCTTGAGGCAGCCAAGGCTTGTAAAGGCTTCCGCTACACCTCCTGTTGGGCCTGTTGGGAGCAGAGCTCTCTTATGGTTTCCAGGCCCCCCTCCCGACCAAAAGCCCAACCCTAGCCCCCAAGACCGGAAGAAGTTCCAACATTCGAGCCCAGGTGCCAAATTCATGCACCACCGGGAATACGGTTTAGGGTTTCGGGTTTGGGGTTTAGGGCTTCTGGCAACTTGATGTCGAAACCAGAATCGGGGAGCCATCTCGGATCCCTGTGAGGTCGGGCGGGTTCATGAGACCCAGTGCTGGCCCCAGCAACTGGCCAACAGGGCTTGGGTTTCCCTAAACCCTAAACCCTAAAC